GTTTTATATATTTATGATGTCATAAGTGATTGAAGACATGTTCAGAATTTTGTTTTAGATGGATTTCCATAGGCACTGGGTTACTGTGCTATATGTTGTGTGCTGCTGAGTTACTGCAATTGTTTCATCCACCAGAATGATCTAAAGTTTTCTCGACAACTTGATACAACACTCTTGTTTGAGCATAGCATGACCACAGTCTTCAGTGTTGGTGAGACATCCCAAATTACTGAATTATAAATATCTAAATGTTGTAAATCGTGGCCAGAGCTAATAAAGAAGTTCTTTTTGTGTCATCTATGAAGAGAGATACACATTACACAGAGTGATTTATCTGACCTGTAGGTGAAATAAATTGCTCTCAGGAGGTGAGAACCTCTCACTGTTTTGTGCTGAGGCTCATCTCCAGCTACATGCTTCGCCCTTGAAGCACTTCACCTTACCCTATGCAAAAGAGCATGGCTGTATGTGTGAACGACATCTCTGTGTGTCATTATAGATTATGGGCATTTGCATTATTAGCATTTAAATTGTCCATGTAGTAGGTAGTAAAGAAAACCCATCATACAGTGCACCAAAGTAATAGATGCCAGATGAAAGTGAGGTTTTCCCATTAGGTTTTGATGGATACGTTCCAGAAAAACTCAAAACATTTTAGCAAATTACCTTTTGCTCCTGTCATCTCTTTTAGCAAATGTCTCATAATCTCCATAAGACCATGTAACTCACAGTCAAATGCTGCAGATATGCCCCAGATGAGAAACCATCTTCTGTGTTCCCTCTGTGGATAGGGGATCATCTGTGCTGTTAAAAAGGCTCCATTCTGTGTTCTGGCATGATTTCAGACTGTTCCAAGTTTAGGATTTGAGCATCAGTTAGATGGGGTTGTAGCTGGCCTTTGTTTAGTTATGCTACAAGCTCATTTAGGAATGGTATGGCAGGTTGGAGAAGAGGGAGTTGGTGTCCAGAAGTGGTTTCTCAGGGGTTGAAGTGTGTGGTTTGGAGTTATTCCCAGCCGTGACAGGTTAGAAAATGCATAGATGAAATTAAGTCCTAAAGATAGAGTTCTTTTTAAATGGTGAATTACTGCTGTGAAATTTAGTAATAAATTTCAGTGGATGTGTATAGAATGGCTATCAGTTGCTAGCAAGTGTGAACTTTTCACTGCAGCAAAGCTAACATGACTGTTTTCTTTGGGTATGAAATAGGGATTTAAAAATCTGTTATGCTTTTTTTTGTCCGTGCTGAGTGTTTCAAGAACTGTCAACATTTCAGTGGCCATTCCTGCTGAATAGAATATCAGAGAATTAAAAAAGCACTGACCAATAGTCAGTAATGAGTAATCATCTTTTCAGTAGTCAAGCTGTGAATGTTCAGTGGTCAGTAATGACGAATTACAATTTCTTTCACCCTCATCCTATAGATGGACTAATGCTCACTATTACCACTCTTTATACTGAATTTGTTGTAGGGCAAGAATTTTGGCCAAGGAAAGAATTTTTTCCTTTTTTGTGTCTGAGGTCTGGTAGATGTGAATGCTGTGATATAGACAATGAAGATTATAGCACTTTGGTATTTAAATACAGGTGATGCCTGGAGTACAGATAATTTTTCAAAGTTTTACAGACAATGAGTTCTTTCATTTGTACTTCCTTGCAAAATGTTTATGACCTTCCTGATAAATTTACTGAAATCTTCAGGACTTTGCACTCGGCCTTGTTGAACCTCACGAGGTTCTCATGGACCTACCTGTCCACGGTCCCTTTGGATAGCATCTCATCTCAGACATGTCAGTGGCACCACTCAGCTTGGTGTCATCTGCAAACTTTCTGAGGGTGTGCTCAGTCCTGCTGTGTCATCAATGAAGATTTTAAACAGTGCTGGTCCCAGTATGGACCCCTGAGGGATAACACTTGCCACTGATTTGCATCTGGGTATTTTGCCATTGACCACTCCCTTCTGGGTGCAACCATACAACCAATTCTCATCCATCAAACAGTTCACCCATCAAATCCTTATCTCTCCGATACAGAAAGGAGGATGCTGTGCTCTGAATCTCCCATGATACAACACAGTGATCCATTAAATACCACAAACCTTTTGAAAACTAATCTTGCTCTCATTATTGTGAAATTATTTGCATTGTTTAGAGCATTTCAAAAAACTAAAATGGCAATGATGTTGAAGATGTTATGCTAGACATGCAAGTGTCATGACAATAAGATGATTTAATTCCTGCTCTTCCTTGTTGAACAGATAGACATTTTCATCACAATAGTGGAAACTTGTAGAAATGGTGATACCACTTAAGTCAAAGTGATCTAGGTGACTTATTTTAGTTTCAACATTCACTTCCAGAGGTGAACGTCCCTGTTTTGTTTTTAGTTATTCATGTCTGGCCCCCGACCTCACCCCTCCCCAGGTCCTCTACTTTGATCATAAATCTTGTTGGACAGTTTAACTGCTGTGTGTATTCAAATGGGGGTTGCCTTAAAAGGGAATGAAAGATTTTCAGGTCTTTAACACAATGCAACTGAGCTGGTCATATTTGAGACCATCATCTGATTTTGGTCTTTTAAATATAAATACTCTGTTGTGTTCTTTACTTTTTAGTATTTCTCAGAGAAAGGCAGCAAGTTATTTGCTGATGAATTCAGCACAGTCCTGTGTCATAGGGTGTTGGCTGTCTACAGAGTTTGATAATAGCATATTGAACTCTTCAATCCTGAATTATTTAACTTCCATTCCTTAACACAGTAATGGCAGAGAATCTGGTATCTAAATAGCATAGAGACCATTTGACAATCTCTGTTTATTGTAACTGAGCTTTTCTTGCTCAAGACATGAGCCTTTTCATCCATACTTTCTGATTGATACTTCATGCCAGTAAGTCTTCTGAAAGCTTTGAAACGCATGTAATTTTATTTATTTTTTCTGACAGGAGAAATGCTCAAGTTAGGTGCAGTGAGTGCAAATGAGAAAGTATAAGGCCAAAGCAGGACTAATGAATTGAGTTATGCCAAGTTTAAAAATGGCTGATGATTTTTTTTTCTCTGTTGATGATTTTTTTTCTCTGCAGTGGCATGCTTCCCTGTACAGATCCTGGTTAAAGTTTGAGGTTTCCCTTGTTAGGCATTAGTTTCAGTTTCATTTTTTTCAGTCAATGCATAGCTGTTGTAGGACATACTAGTTGCTTCACAAAAAAGGAGTTTGCAGAGTCCTGAATCTTTTAGTTAATGACGTTGGAACCAGTTTCACTTGCGTATATTGACTTAGTACATTTCACAGCATTTATTCTCTCTGTTGCAATTTCTTGGAAGTGAATAAAAACTTCTGAGGAACAACCTCGGGAGCCAAACCAAAGATGGGTATGGAAACCAAATCACATTTTTGTTTTCAAAGATGAACATTTCAGACCATATTCTGGTACAGACCCTAGTGCTGTTTCTTTCTCTTTTCTCTTGTGTTAGGTGAAGAAATCCATGTTCCACTGTTACCACTTACATCTTTCATGAGCTTTGCAGCATTACCTTAACCACTGGCAAAACTTGCAGGGAACCTAAGTGATCCTGCATGAAACATACCAAATCCAGTGGCATAATAACACATTTTGCCTGAAGAAACATCTTAGAGTGTTCATTTAAGCAAGGGAAGAGACATACAGTTTCTAGGCACAGATTTAGTACATCTTTATGTCTGTACATAGCCCAAGTCAAGAGCTCAATGCCTGAAGGCTGAGAGCTGACAATACATGCATTTGTCCACTTAAGCAATATATTTCCCTTGCTTTGAATTTTACAATTCAGAATACAGAATATAACTGTTATAAAACAGACAAGTGTGCATTTTATAGAGATTTTACAGTTGCCGTAGTTCTAGTTTTTCACATCAAAACAGATTAAAACTTCTTCTAAGTACAAGTTTGAGAAGTATGTCTAAATACCTTAAAATTCAAGAGTCAGTATTTAGGCATCTGTGATTTTTAAGATATTGATCAGTAAGATATAGGTAATATTCTTTGGATCTGAGAACCATGCATTACCCAAGATCATACTGCAGGAAAGGGATCATCAATCAGCACCTATTTGCTATTTGAGTTTCAGTTTCGGGAGACTGAAGTTATGGGACCAGATTTTCACTCAGATTCTGTGAAAAGCTTGCAGAATTTGTACAGCTATTCCTTTCTGGATGCTCAGTGCCCACCAAACTGGACAGGGAAGAAGAAATGTAATTATTAAAGGCTGATAAGTTGAGATAAGGACAGGGAGACATCACTCACTAAATACTGCCACAATCAAGACAGACTCAAATTGGGGGATATTAATTGAATTTATCACTAACAAAATAAAAGTGGGATACTGAGAAGTAAAACAGATCTTAAAAAAAATATCTTCCCTACACCTCTCCCAGCAGTGCAGGAAGATAGGGAATGGAGGTTATAGTCAGTTCAGCACAAATTGTTTCTGTCGCTGCACAGGGAGAAGAATCCTTCCCCTGCTCCACAGTGGGGTCCCTGCCATGAAACACAGTTCTCCATGAACTTCTCCAGCATGGGCCCTTCCCATGGGCTGCAGTTCTTCCCCAGCTGCTCCAGCACGGGTCCTTTCCAAGGGGTGCAGTCCTTCACGAACAGGCTGCTGCAGTGTGGGTCTCCCAAAGGGTCACAGGTGCTACCAGGAAACCTGCTCCTGTATGGGATCCTCCCTCCTAGGGTCTGTGGGTCCTGCCAGGACCCTGCTCCAGCAAAGGCTTCTCATTGGCTCACACCTCTCAGGCATCCTGTCCAGCACAGGTCTCTTCCATGGGCTGCAGGGTGATCTCTGCATCCCTATGGTCCTCCATGGGCTGCAGGAACACAGCTGCTTCACCACAGGCTACAGAGGAATCTGCTCTAGTATCTGGAGCACCTCCTACCCCTGCTTGTCCACTGACCTTAGTGTCTGCAGAGCTGTCCCTCTCACATTCTCACTCCTCTCTTCTGTGAATGCAACTACCTGTTGTAATTATGTTGAGACAGACTGGACTGACACCATCATCAGTCCTTTATTAAAAGCTTTTCATGCCTTTTCTGAGGCAACTCCACACAGCTTTAACTCCTTCTCTCTGCAAGTTTTCTTCTTCCTTCTGCACAACTGACTAACCCCAAGCTGGCCCTTACCCAGCCACCTAACCCTGCCTGTCCCTCACACAGCATCTTCTTACCTTGTCTGTCCCTTGCACAGCTCCATGTCCCTTGCCTCAGCACAGCCAACAGATTCCATCTCAAGCCACAGCAGGCTCTAAGTCACAAGCTACAACTAACTCTCAGCTAGCTAGCCCACTCTTTTATAACCCCCATCCTCACTGGGCAGGCAAGGCTGTCTCCACTTCTCAGCAATCAGTACAGCTGTAATTCATTGGGAAATATTGCCTCCTGCACTATCCCTACAAACTATTCTCCTACAATTCCCTCTTTGCAAAAACTCTTCTTTCCTTCTTAAGTGTGTTATCACAGAGGTGTTACCATCATTCCTGACTGATCCAGCCTTGGCCACTGACATGTCCATCTGGGAGCCAGCTGCCATTGGCTCTGCTGGACATGGGAGAACCTTCTGGCAGCTTCTCATGGAAGCCACCCCTATAGCCACCCTGCTACCAAGACCTGGCCACGCAAACCCAATGCACTGCTTGTTTTCCTCATAGGTAACTTCTTTATTTGCACAGTATGAATATGATTACGAGGCTTCCCAGAGAAGCCTGAGTGTCACAAATGAGAAGCCTGAGTGTCACAAATGTGAAACTACATGCAACATTGAACAAGGAGAGGAAAAGCAAAAACAAGAAAATGGATAAAAGGCCCCGGGCTACATAGGGTTCTGAAAGACATTTTTAAATGTGATATCTGGAAAGTTCAGTAGCAAGAGGGATAACACATAAAGGAAAAAAAACCCAATAAACTCCAGAAAATTCTGTTCTTACAGTGCCAAGAAGAAAAGAGGAAATTTGGCTCTATGAAGCTCAACCCTGAAGAAAATTAGCCTTGTAGATAATTTTTTTGGCTAGTCCCAAGATAGGAGGTGTTTTCTACTGTCTTCCTGAATATAAGACTCATTGAAATTTTTAAACTGAAGTTATTCTGGGAGCCTAAAACTTGCCTCAGGTTTGCCTCATCTAAAAACAGTGAAAGGAGGAGTGTGAATGTGTGTTGCTCATCTATGAAGTTTATTCTTCCTTGAATATGTTTTTTTAAAGCTGAAGATTCTGATTTCCTGCTTAAAACACACAAAAAAGCAATGGCTTTGATTGACCTCATTGGCCTTGCTAAACTGGACAGCTTCCTGACCAAAATGAAAACATATATCAGAAGCAGATCAAGCTTTTCTGGAGTGTGGAAGAAAGAGATCTGCTGGAACTTCTCCTGTATGGTGAGGAAGAGATAGGTTCTTCTGTGTGGAAAGCCCTACCCCTCCATTGTTCAGGTTGTGCTCTCACATGTGGTTAAGAGGACCTGAGCTCTTGAAGTTGGTTAAGTTGTGGTGGTGTCAATCACTGGAGAATTCACCAATTCACCTCTGGGTGAACAGATTTAGAGAAAAAAACCAAAAATGTAAAGCACAATGGTCACTTACAATCAATGTGTACAGCTGTGGTAGAAGTGTGTTGTTTGTATTTACACCTTTCAAAAAGGAGGCTGTGTTTAGTGGTGTGTTGCTACAGCAGCATTTGGCTCTTTATTGACACATATAATTAGAGATTTTACAATTTTATGTGCCAAGCAGTGCATTATCTTCACAAAACTTTTAAGGTGATCACTTTTATTGCTGGAATTTCATTCATGGAAATAGTGAAAAAAACGAAATGCCATTTAGAATGAACCTATCTGATGTCCCCTCAGGTTAGTATTCACAGCTGTGAATTAATTGGAAGAATAAAGAGTAGAACTTTAACTACACTCCAGGTCCCATCTTGGTCTTAAAATCTATGTGGGTATTGCAGTCTGCAAGTCATGTGCCTTCTCCACTTGAGGTCAGTGCTGAAAACAGTCATTGGCTGAAGCATAATTAAAATCAGGCTCTCAGAGGATCATCATTTTTCCTGGTAGGGTTCTGTAATTATGCATTAACTAGTTATCTCTTGTACTTGAGGTAGTAAAAGCACAGCAGAATTTATTTATTTTCCCTGTATTTTTGTGTGGAGGCCAAGGGGAGTTTTTGACACAGACCTCCAATGCAAAAATCCATAAATCCATGCTGTGTTTTCATATATGATATACTGTATGGCTCCATGTACACTATGAAAATTATCAAATAAGAGCAGTCAAGCCATTCTAGTAATCTGGAAATATCTCTCAAGAGAGGAGGGAAGATATTTTTTTCCTACTACTATATTTTGCCATAATAATGGACATCTATAAGTATAATAAAATAAATGGCTGACTTCTCTGGGGTTTTTTTTGCCTGACAGTCAATAAATTTACCAGTGGTTGGCAGCTCAAGTATTTTGGATCATGCTGAGGCTCAGCAATGTTCCAGATGAAGCCCGAAGCCCTGTTGGAGCTGGTCCCACAAACTCTACAGCATGTTGTTGTCAGCCCTCCCTGCCATACCCACAGGGCTCTGATGACGTTATTGCTGAGCTTCACACAAGCTAAAGCTCATAAAACTGAAATTTTGCTTCATATGAAGGCAGTAGTTACAGTCAATGAGTTTCACAGATGCAGTGGGCCCTCTTGGTGCAGTCAGGGAGCTTAAGGAACGGTGTTACATGAAACCTCTGGGTTTAGGTTTTTTTAATCCTTTTTTCTTTTTAAATTTTTTTTTCTTGTTTTGCCGGGTGGAATGTTTGAGCATACACAGAGGCCTGGAAGTTTCATTTGAGATGGTTATTTTAGAATGCTCTCCCAAGCTTTGTGGATTGAAAGAAGCTGGGAAGAGGTGGGAGGTGGGAAATGGGCATCGCTAATATGATGTAAGAACTCACACACATAATAATCTGAATGTCGGTAAAACAAAAGCAGCTATACCCTTCCTTTTCCCAGAAGCAAAGCTACTGCAATTCCTGGATTGTTATAAATTGTAGGAATAGAGCAGGTACTATACTGTAAAGATAGAATTGCATAGTTTGGTTTTCTAAACTTTTTTCCCTCCTGGTGTGGATATGGTTTTACTGTACAGCTGTATTTATTTACATGTGTTCCTGAAACTGCGAAAACTTCTTTGCCTGGATTTATAGGTTGCTATGTGTGCAGTGGCTTGGTTTCTCCTAGATTTTTCTTCCCAAAACAAACCCCGTTCCTCTTGGTACATGAGGTGTGTGGCAGGCGTGCTGCCACGTGTTTTGCAGCCTAAGCTGTATTTCAGCATTTCTTCCCTCTCTTCATCTCCCCTCCTACCAGCTGGAAATTGTGTGTAGGTGCAGGACATGCACAGAAACAGTTAAATCGGTGCTTTGTTTTCTCATGTCCAGGTGATAAGTGGTGGTGGTTTTTGAAGCAGGAGGGCTCCCAACAGACTGTTCCAGATAGACTTGGTGTTTACAGAAGTGAGACAAACCCTCAGCTGTGTAAGACGTGGTGTTCAGAAATGTACCTGTGGGGAGGATCAGAGAAAGCAAAGTTGACAAGGAAGGAAGATTGATCAGATTCACGTTTTTAAAGAAATATTCACTGTAAGATGGTGTGAAGCAGCTTTTAGCTATTCAGTGAACATGGCCAAAATGCACCCAGCTTTATGGTTTATAGTTTCTCTAAAGCAACGATAAAAAAACAGCTCTGGAAAGAAACCATACTCAGCCATGAAATGGAGAGGGTTTGTGCATATGTGAAGACATATATAGGGTGTTTTCTCCTTGTGCATATGTGAAGACAGATACAGGGCATTTTCTCTCTCTTGTATGTTTCCTTTTCAATTTCAGAGAAAAGTTTCTTTTCCTATGGCTTTTGCTGGCAGCAATAGATGGGAAAGCTCTCACCCAAACCTTTGGCTGTGCTTAGGTGAAAGTTCCTCCTGCTTCATCTCTTAGATGAAAGATGCCTCTTGCAGCTTTCTTTTCTGAATCAAAGGGAACAGTCACTCTATTGCTCCGTGTTCCCAACCCCCGCTTTCTCTCCCTCTCTTTGCATCTTAGAAGCTGACAAGAGGTGGATAAGACTGCAAGTTATTTTAAATGATAATTGGCTTATTTTCAAGCTACTGGTAATAAGGATAAAGCAGATATACACCACACGTTCTTAACTTTAAACACATTACTACTCTGAGCCATTTAATGGAGACTCATTTCTGGCTTCATCCTCATTTGAAATTCCTAATTAAGTAGGCTGTAGCTATTGAGAAACAGTGGCCTGAATTTACTGAGGGTATAATTCTGAATTTGGCTCTGGCTTCAGATCTGTCTGAATAAGACTACACTGAGAAATTCAGTTTTCTGTTCTTGAGGTTTTCCTTCAGCAGCTTACAAATGTCACTGTTTATGACACTGGCAACATTTGAAAGCTATAAAGCTATTGCTCCAGAAATTATTTTTATAATGTACAGCCATTCAGTTTCAGACATTGTAAATCAAAAAGAAAAATAGTCAAGTAAGTTCTAACTCTATCATGCATAAAAAAGTCTATTTTTCTTTTTCTTTTTTTTTTTTTTTTTCTTGTTTAGCCAAATTCTGGGAGCTAAATTTCAGTCCAAGCAATTTTATTTTCACCTAACCCTTTCTGCCTGAAATTAGTCTGAACAGCTTTCAAGTGGATTTGAAATTATCCCAGACCCACTTCTTTTGATTTAAATTTAACCATTTGTCTAGTGGATTAAAGGGCTTGGTTTCTGATGGGGTGACTTCCATTTATCATGTGTATATCTTGATCGTGCAGCTGTCAAACTGTATAAGAATGTGCTAAGGGAAACAAATGACCCAGCCAGTAAAGCTACTCAGGAAAGTAAAATATCAGCCAGAATAATTTCTCCCTGGATATGGGAGTGGGTGGAATACTCTGGGGCAATACTGCAGAGGAGCATTTGAAGCAAGAACAAAATTTAAAAGTGAACAGGGAGCCCTGTGGTTTGATCAAGTCCCCTAGCAAAAATAAAAAGAAAATACCTAATCTGTCTTTAAAATATATGAAGTGCATCAGCCTCTGTGAGTAACCTTGCTGAGCAGAGATGTTAAATTACTGAAAGCTCAATGGTCCATCACATGTTGTTTAATAAACTCATCCAAAAAACCAAACTGGTGAGTGGAAGGGATGACCTGTGTGCATGGGCCATTCCTGCGTCCTGGAGTTCTCCATGAGCTCTGTCAGAATCAACATGCTTTGAGCTATCATTATTTAATGTTTGCACTGCAGTAGGACCAAAAGTTAAAAGCCTCTTGGTAATTGCTCCCAGGTGCTAGATACTCCACAGACAGTTTGTAAATGATTCCCCCTGCTCCAAAGTGACACTGTAAGACTGATGAAGATTTTATAATTTAAAATTGTGACACCCTTGAAGTATTTAGTAAAATCAGCTGATCCAAATTATGAATTTTAACTTTTTAGCTATCTGCCATTACAGTATTCCTACTTATTTACATAGATTGGTTTCTTTCCCATTCTTTCTTTTGTTGTTACTGACTTTATGTCATAAACTGTAGGAGCACCTCCTTGCCCATATTGCAGAGTATGAAAGTAGATTTTAGTTTCAATAAGTGAAGATAGGCATTGCAGATGGATTGTAAGTAGTTTGTTTTGTAAGACAAAAGAAATCCAAAGAAGGTTATAATTTGTGATGGTGCTCTCTTTGAACTGTGTGCTTTGCATTTCATGTTATCTTTATGGTCCTTCACAAAGCATTAAGAGGAGTTTCTTTTGGACTGAAGGGATGTTTGACCTTGACATTTGGAGTTGCTGTGTAATCTTTCCCATTCACTCTCCTGAATGGGCAGATGAGTATAAAGCTGAACAACAGTGAGAGAGCATGTTAGTTAGTCCTCTTTGATGGACTAGTGGTACAGTAGGGAAAAAACCTAAAAGATAAAAAAAAAACTTATTTGGCAGTTCAAGCTTAAAAATAAAAAAAACCCCAAAGAATATCCACCTTGCAAACTTTAATCCTGTCGATGTCTATATCTGAGCTAATTGTTTGACTCTCTATTAGGGGAAATCTGACATAGTCAACAGTGATTAATCTGACCAAATGTAGATGCCTGCTACAGGAATGAAATCAAAGGCATCTAATCTATGAAGATTATTTGATAGCATTTCTTAGCCTAGGCATTAAATGCCCATATTTACTCAGAAAACCCACCTATTTTTTTGTGACATGTTTTTGACCAGTTCTTGGAAAATTTGAAGTTAACATCATTTTAGCAAAGATTTCTTTTTATTTTCATTTCTTGCAGTTTTATGAGCCATAAATTTGCATATAAAGATCCATATTTCTACCCACTCCATTCAGGGAACTCCTCTTTAGCTTCTGATTATCTGACAAACTGATAAAATGTTTGCCTGTTTCTCCCAGTTCTTGACAAAAATGATCAGCAGCACATAATGACCACGCATTTAAGAGTATTTTTTTAGCTACCTTGTTGACAATTAATCTTCAAAATATGAGATATTCACTGGGTTTGGTACCCTCATACACAATGGGAATGGGCAGAAGGATTTTAGCTCATGAACTGGCCAAACTCATTGAGAGGGCTTTAAACTAAAGGGTTTGAAGGGGGAAGGGGATGTGGCTGAGCTGTCTGGAAGCAGCCCCAAGGGTGGTAAGCCTGAGCTAGGGGTAAAATCAGCAGCCCAGCCGAGGTGCATGTTTACCAATGCAAGCAGCATGGGTAACCAGCAAGAAGAGCTGGAGGCTGTGGTGGAACAGCAGAGCTGTGATGTAGTCGCCATCACAGAAACGTGGTGGGACAACTCACACAGCTGGAGCTCTTCAGAAGAGACAGGAAAGGGAGATGAGGTGGAGTGGTGGTCCTTTATATTAGGGAAGCTTTTGATGCCTGGGTATTGAAACTAATGATGATGGAGTTGAGTGCCTATGGGTAAGAATTAAGGGGAAGGCCAGCAAGGCTGACATCCTACTGGGAGTCTGGTGGAGTCTCCATCCTTGGATGTGTTTTAAAAAAAACTGGATGTGCCACTCTGTGCCCTGGTTTAGTTTAGGTGTTAGGGCATGGATTGGACTTGATGGTCTTGAAGGTCTCTTCCAACCTAGTGATTCTATGGGTTGTAGCTACAAGCTTTGGTCCTCTTTCAAGAGCAGTGAAAATCCCACATGTGCTATTACTTACATACTGAAATGGAAATATTGGAACAAATGTATTTGGATATTCTGGTGTGCTGCTAAGTGTTACAGGGTTCTCAGCCCACTGATAAAAAGCTACTGATGACTGTAGGGGGCTGTTTTAACCAGGTGGCAACGTGGCTTTCCTGTTAGGATATGCAGAGCTCACCAGGCACTCAGCTGAAGCAAGAGGGTGTGACCCCTTCCTTGTGCTTCCCTCCAGAGTGATGCTGCAGCTTCCTAGCCAGCTAGGCACAGGTATGAAAGGAAAGCATATATATGCTTTTTTATATACTCTCTGCATCACTTCTGCCCTGCTCTCCAAGCCTCCTCCCCCAATTGCTTAAACAATAAAATTTTAAAACAAGCATGCTACAGTTCAATATCTATTGCAATAGGTTAATGTAGCACATATTGGATTAAGGTGAAAAAAATACTTTCAAATGGAAAATCATATAAGCAAAGATTATACTATAGCAACAGTTATGAAGTCTTTAATATGATTCTGTCTAGGACAAAGGGCTACCTGCAGTGGAAATATCTCCATTTTCTTCCAAAATTCAAGAGAAGAGGTATGTACCAAGCACAAGTTAGAATAGCAGTGCTATTTTTGCAATGTGGATTTTAATTTGGACAGTGTGGCTTCACCCTCAGGCTCCCTGTCAGTTGCTATTCCAGCTTAACTCCCAAGTTGCCTTTCTGCTTTAGCCTGAATTAATCAGATTGATTGATGCAGCCCAATATGAGAACATACCTTTTTGTGTGAAGCAGATGTCCTCATTTTGAACAAACTAAGAGTTACTGAATACCACCAAGACATCTCAGTTTTATTTTAGCCTGTAAATCCACCTTGGAAAATTGTAGCCTTCAGATACTTTCTCTTTTTTTCTTCTATAGACAAGTGACAAAGGAAAATGGATACTCCTGCTAATCGCTTCAAAAGCGTGCTAGTAAGAAAATCTATTAATTGCTCTTCTTATTTCTCTCCTTTGGAATCAGATATGTTCCAGGGATTACTCTGCTCTGTGTACAGCAGAAGTTCAATCAGAGGAACTGAGAGATTGGTAATGCTATACTAGAGTTAGAAAGGCAAAAATTGGGGTGAGATTAGAATTCAGCATAGTGATATACATTGTTCTGAATGCCACTTAGCTCTCATCTTAACTGAAACAAACACAAATAAGAATTTTATTGTTGGTTTAACAGGATTTCATTCCAGTGAGGAGTGATTAAAATGTGGATTCAGCCAGCTTACCATGGCATTGCTGAATGGAGTAATTCCCCTCTCCTGCTTTCATCTGCACATTCCCAGGCCTTCCCTTGTTTGGACAAGAACAATTATGTGATTGCAAGATGTAGATCAGGGATCAGATCTGATCTGTCTAAGTTTTTGGTAGAGGAATGGGTTAAGTCTTGATTCTCAGCTAGGTCTGGGTTTGCTGCAGTTTAGTGGATGAGTGATGGTGCTGACATAAACCTGTGGCTCAAGTCTATAGCTTGAACTTACAAGAAGAGTGAGAAATGTTTTCTTTTGGTAGGTGATCAACAGTGTATTGACTTAAAAAAACAGCAAAACCAGACTTGTAGAATATGACTTGAGGGCAGAAGAGTCAAAAGCATACCTTATTTATGGCACATGCTTTTGGCACATACTTTTCATAGGGTTGTTTGAGAAGTAACTGGTTCATCCTCTGTTAGCTGGAAATCCCCCATGGCTGGGACTGAGGGCACTGCTGATGCAGTGATCCTTGCTGTATAGGGTGGCAATGAAAGCCTGATGTGAAATTCTTAGTGTTTAAAAACCTAGATCTAAAATCTGTTAATTAACTACATTCCTTCTCTACAGAAAATCAGACTCACAAGGTACAGATATACAGAAACATATTGCTTTAGATATGTGCCAGTGCTGGTGGGACAGGAGGGAAGGAGTGATTTATAGAATGGAAGCAAGCATGATTCCATTTCCTTCCCCCACCTCCTCTTTTTATCTACCATTTCTTCTGTAGTTGGGGAAAGGAAAGAGGTTCTGAAAACATCTTTTAGTCCCTTCAAAAACCCCAACCTGCTATACCACCTGTCACTTACCTAAGAAAAACCACAGTTTGAATGCCTGTGTTGAGTGCTGCTTATAACCTGGTTGAAACAATTGTCTATGGCTGGTTTGATATGACTGGCTCTGTGGGTCCCACCTAGGAAAAGGAGATGTAAGACTGAAGACCTTAGGAATTACTGGAAGATATGTGGCTGGAGAGAGTAAGGAGCACCTGTCATTGTGCTAGAGAGAAAAGCTGCAACGTGAGCTTTTACAAGGCACCAGAACAGCTGGTCTCTGCTGGGTGGTTCCTGAATGCCACTGCATCAGGAGAAGCTGCAGTTGAGGCTTGTCCTCAGCTACCTGACACAAATCCGTGGGAAAGCAGCTCTCATTGGTTTCTCACAACTGCTTCTCAATACAGTATCTTTTCTAGTTCTTAAGTGGCATCTTTTGATGAGTGGAATAAATTTTACCACAAGTTTTACCCAAGCTTACTGTGAATATCTATACAGATCACAAATTTTGGTTTGACATAAGTTTCTCAAGTGACCCTAGGTTCTGTATTGGCCTTAAGTAATTTTTAGATACAGGGTTAGGCTTACATTGGAAGTTCAGGTTTTTTTCCTTCTTATTTTTTTTTCCCCCTTCTGGGTGACATTTTGACATGTTTGTCTAAAGGATCTGTCTTTTAACTAAACAGACATAATGATATTCTCTTTTGCTCTCTGTTCCCTATCTTTCAATGCCAATAGATCACCCAGAAGTGCAGTTGAGAGCAATGGACCCTCAGGGGCTGGGTATTCATCCCAAATCAGCCTTTTGGTAGGACTGGCAAATGTATTGGTCTCTGCTGTTTTCTCAATGGTGCAAATCTGAGACACAAGTTGAAGCTGCAGATCCCAGATGAGCCAGAACATGCTGCCACACACCTGGGGGAGCTGGGCTTACAGGTCGTGACACCAATGCCTTTTCACAAGCACAAGCTAGCTCCTTATTTAAAACAGATCGTGCCCTGCAAAATTGCATCCTAGTTAGTGGATCTAAAAAAATGTTACAAACTCCCAACAGCAGCACTTATTGACCAGCATTGCCATTTAATCCCTGCCAGAATTGATTCTTCGAAGTTCAGGGAGGTATTATTTTTGCCATTAAGTATCTCCACATACCGAGACCAGTAATTTTTCCCTGAAAGAGGTAGGAGGCATTCCGGCTGATGCACGAGTGTCAAAAAGTATAGAAAACCCTGTTTTTTTCTGAAAGTGGTTTTGTGCCTCCTGATTCAGTGAGTCCATGTACAGAAGTAGTTGTTTTTTCCTTGCTGTTTTCAACTCTCCTCTTTTGTGACTGGAATTACAGCCTGCAGGAAGTTCCTTAGCAGCTCAGTACTGCTAATCTCCCATTGTCAATTCCAGAAATGTCCTAATTTACAGGAGGACAAAATCTGTTGCTGTGAGAATAATGAATTGCTGCTATGGAAAAATGTATTTATTAATAAGAATACAGTGTCATATTAATTACCTAATTTTAGACTGTCTTTTCTTGGATATGATACATTTATGAATGTAATTGAATCACAAGACAGCAAATCAGTAGTCATTGGTATGCTGCTGAGAAGGCAGAGTACAGCATGAAGAAAGATAGTTTTTGTATATAAGCAAAAAAAAATTTCCCAATTTGTTTTTTTCCTCTTCATTATGAAGTGTTCACCACTGGGTACAGAATTTTCTTAGGAGTGTATTTTGTGAAATTGTTGGTGATACCAGTTTGTAGTCTAGAGGGGCTGGAAAAAGTTCTGAGAGGCAAATGTAGCTCCATTCAAAGAGAAACATTGAAAAGGGCTGTCAGAGTTTTGGTAGCTGGAGTTATTCCTTTAGGCATTTCTGTTAATAAAATATACTCTCATTGAATCCCTTTAATTTCCAGGGTAGCCTGGAGCTCTCATCTCAGTGATGCTGCTCAGCTTCTTTGGTCCTCTGCAAATCTTCCCTGTGGTGGAAGGTGTCCCTGTCCATGGCAGGGGGTGGAACTAGATGATCTTTATGGTCCCTTCCAACCCAGGCCATTCTATAATTCTGTGATCTGCCTCTTCCTGCTGATTGTTCTGCTCATAACTTTACTGCCAAGGTATATAGCCCAGATGTGATCATCTAGAAGTTGTGTTGTTTCTTTTGACTTGGAAATGAACAGTATCACTTGAAACATTTCAGCTGAATTCAGTGTATAAAGAAGCAGATTCTGAATATACAGAAAAGCATCTGCCTCCAAGTCATCTTCACTGAGATATGTTCATATGGGCTGAATGCTTACTAAAGCATTAGGCAATAGCACAAATTATCAGCAGGGAATAAGGGCAGATGCACAGGCTATTAGGACCAGTCTTATAAATTTATTAATGTAATTTGCAGATTATACCACTTTGTGAAAAATAGAAATATTAGTAAGAGAAAGAGAAGTTAAAATCCAACCAGGGAACACTGCTAAAAATAAAGGTCTCAGGGGAAAATATCAAGAGGAAAAAGAAGATCAAGTATTTCACTTAAAATATAAATACATAGACAAAGAGGGAGACAATTCAGATAGTAAAATTCAGATGAAGGGAAAGCCCAAAATGCTGCCTTGGAAAGAACTGGAGGTAACAGAGATATAGAAGTGACACCAAATAGCAAATGAGACATCACTTTACCTCTCATTTATATATTATGTGATGTGGCAATAAAAGGGATGAGAAATACCTTTAGGCTATCTGAAGATATGAGGGAGAAGTGAGAGTCCCTTTCCCTATGTGACAAGACAGAAACTATTTCATTAAGCTCTGAGCATCTTGTTACCAAAAATACATTATTGGAATGTGATTGGAAGACAAAGAAGAAAAACAGAAAAAACCTGAAACAAAGATAATGAAATATAACAAGCTTAACTCAATCATAATTAAATGAGTTTCATAATAATCCGTATTGGAAAGGGTTAAGTGCTGAAAAGGAATGTCAGGAGATGTAATCACATGAAATTAAAGAAAGAAAAATTAGAGGTAGTATTATGAATAATTTGAACTGAACAGACTGAGCAGTTGTGGGTAAAAGAGAGATTTTCACTAAAGACACCAGGGAAAATCCTCATTTTTACACATTTTTAATGTCCACAGAACAGACGGAGTCAGGTTTTTAATGTCTCACTTAAAAGATGCATGCAGATGGTGTTTTTTCATGCATTTGAAATATGAATTCCTACATTTTGATTATGTTGTCATTAGCAGTAGCCTTACTTGGTAATTAGGAAGCTGGTTCCTAGCATGGGTGTGAGAGAGGTATATTGAGAAAGGAGGATGTTATCTCTTTGTTTCCACAGGGATATAATTAAGTGCAACCAACAACATCATCAAAACAGTAGAAGAAATTCAAACAATAACTATGCTGACTGGAAATGGCTTGTTGTTCCGTGAAAAACAGATTATTTTCATCAGAAAAGGCCATATTATTTGCCAGTACCCATTCTGGCCAAGAGAGAAAAGGAAATTCCATGAGAAAAGGGGTTTCCCTGTAATAAATGCCAATTTTTTTCTCAGGTAAGTAACTTTGAATGAATATCAATTTAGAAATAAAGCTACATGTAATGGAGTATTACAAGCAAGTTTTTAAGAGAGGAGAAAAAGCCAAATCACATGAAAAAGCCAAATACCATGAAATGTGTGGCATTAGAGGAGAAAGCAAGAGTGAGAGAGCTGTGAGAATGTTTCCTTTCTGGAAAGCAGTTCGTGCTTCAGGAATGGCATGTTCATGTGTCAGTGCAGAACGAGGCTTGCCTGCTGCCTGCTCTTTACACTGAACAACATTCTCAGTTCTAAGAAAAGAAAAAAAAAACAAAAAACAAAGAAGAAGAAGAACAAAGCAAAGACAAAAAGAAAAAAAGCAAAGCAAAAAGCAACCCTGAACTCTGAGGCAGTCTTGGAAAGTGAAAGAATGAATTTCTCTCCATGACACATTTGTTCCAAGACACAGACTATGCATGCCTGATTTTTGTTATTGTGATTCTCAGTTTTAGGGCTCCACGTATTTTATAGTAGGTGAGTGTCTGTATCTTTACAGCGTCTGTTAAATATGCAGTTATGCTTCTAAATGTTTTAAATGTACCAAAACATGGCCAGGGCTTTGCCAAGCAAGCTTGATTTGGCCAGAGGAGCTCCCAGTTTTGGGGTTGAGTGCTGCATCTCCTGCTCGTACCTCTCTGCAGCTGCTACCCTTAGTGCCTGGAGGAGGAGTCTCCAGGCCAGATACCAAGCAAGCCTGCAGAGTCTGGTGTTATAAACAAGAAATTATCGAAGCATGCAAATCTCCATCTTCACTACCTCTCCTCGAATTACTGTGGTCCTTTCCATCCACCCTGCTTACTTTCTAGTTATCTTATTTTTAATCTATAAAGAGCTGCTGACAAGGATCTCTGTATTTCCTGCCCTAACATTTTTACCTCTCACATCACCAAATCCTTTTAGTAGTTTTTCAATCTTTTTTCATCAAATTTAAAAACCTGTCTGCATATTGTCTAGGCTATCTATAATATGGTCCATAAACTCTCTTTTAATTAATATGAAAATTCAATTTCTGACTTCCCATTTTCATCCTCATGCTTGCATCCTGCTTCTTCTTGCATCTGCCTTTTCCACTTTCAGTTTCAAATTTTCTCTATCATGAAACCCCATTTTTTTTTGGTACTGATCAGTGGGACACCATCTCTTCCCCTTGAAGTCTTTATTTTAATTAATCCCTTATGTAATTAACAGAGTGTTTTCCATGCTTCTCCAGTTATAGCTGTTTGTATTGCAGTCTCCTTACCAACATGATTCCCTGGAGGAAGAACTGGCTTTTCCTCCGTTTCTGGGTTTAATATTGATTTGGTTGCAATTTACTTATGGGAGGAGGGGGTTTGGTGGGCTGAAGTTCAGCCATAGGAACTAAAAAGAATCATACATAGTGTTGTGGGATTTCCCAGAATTTTTCGTACACTACTGGTTGGACCAAGAGCTAAAAAGCTAAATGTTTGAAGTGAATGTAATATACCCAAGACTGTGCATTGGTCAGAGGCACGCTGGTTCCTCTGGTCACAGGTATTTGTGCTGGAGAAGATTTTGTTTTAGTTTGAACTTCTAACATGAGGGGGATGGGAAGCAGAAGTCATCTGTAAAATTGGCTGATTGCTTTCCTTCGCTGAGGAAATCAATGGTATTTTAAACTAAACTGTGCTGAACATAGGTGTTGCAGCACGAATCTCTTTTTTTCGCTTGAGTTGCCACAGCAACATAAAATTTCCTTTCCCCCACATTACCTTCTCTAAAATATACTTCACAAATTGTCTTGGAAAAAAAAAAAAGCAAAGAAGAGCCTTATATCATGCTGACAAATTGTGCTGTTTGCTCTTTTAGTATTTGGTCTTCTATGGATTTGTTATTATTAGAGCAAATCTACTTGATGCACAGATAGCTCAACTTTTTAAAATTTGACCTTAGGTAAAGGGATGGAAAAGTTAAATTGAAGCTGAAGCAGCTGCTCTCTCTAGACAGGCTGCAGGCCCAGGAAACCCTCTGCACAATCTGGCAGTACTTGTTAGGGTTTGGTGTGACTGTGGGTTACAGAGTCTGCCTCTTCCCAGAATTGGGAAGAGAAGCAATAGCCTGTTGGATGTATTATTAGGGAACATGCAGTGGCTTTTAAGGAGGGTTTCTTTCATACTTTTCTCACACCTTTGCAAGAGCAGTAGCAGCTCCAGCAGGCTTTGAATGACCAAGTGCATATCCATTATCCTGTGAGAGAAAAAAGATTGAAAAGATCCACGTGAAAAGGAAATTGTCTTAGCTATCCTTTGTTGAAGGAGCCATTAGACTCAGATTAATTGTTAAAATAATTTTAATACGTAGTGTTTTAGACTAGATGTATAAATCAAATAATTTCAATTTGTTGAAAAGTAATCTGTGCCTGTCAGTGGGGTCATATTTACCAAGAGGACTCTTCCCAGGGTCTCTGGGTAAGGGGTGCCTGTCAAGAGGTGAGAACATCTTTGCACTTGCCAGCAGAGGTGTGCAGGTCTAGCAGTGATGGCTGCACTGCACAGCACTGGGGTTTAGCTGCTGTCACCTCTGCTCATGAACGTCACCAGAGCAATGAATTCTCAGCATTTAAGTGGGAGAATGGACTGTACTCACTACTGGCCCTTGGTGCCCACCCCTTTTGGAGAAAGCTTTGTGGTAATGAGCTCCTTTCCTTTTTATGAGGTTGGGAGGGAATGCCAACATGGAATGCATGGAAAACTGGGTGATCAACAGAAGATTTTGTGAAAGCAACCCTCTTCTTTTGTGAGAAGCTTGTTTAACAGCTTGTGCTTCTGTCTATTTTTGAATGACTGAAATTGTAAATAAAGCCTAGCTTAGTCTTGAGAAAGGTGGAACTACTGACTTGGGATGATAACAACATGCACAAAAATCACCTATATAGGAAACTTGGTAAATAAAATTGACTTTCCCCACTAGTGCTGCCATTTCTGCTTATCTTCTAACCATGCTGTACATGAGTATATCTAGCAGTAGTTAGGACAGGGGAGGAAAGGTTGATTTCATTCTCTGTGGTGACAAATAAAACACTTAATAGATGACAAATTGAGGAATATTGAATCTCTAGAGACCTAATCAAATGTGAATCAAGTCAGCCCCTCATGAGCATGGAGTGAAATGCCAGCTGGAGAATGGCCTTTCCATTCTGGCTTTTATTTTATCCTTTGTAATAGATTGTGACCAGTTTTAATACAGCTAATATTACACCTAAATAAATAAAAATCGTCTCAACAACAGAAAACCATCAGTTTTGGTGTAATAAATACATTTCCTTGTGGAAAAGTACAGTACTGTACTTATACTGTAACATTGAGTGTAAGTGGAATTGATAATAATTTAGTGATCCTAAAGAGCTGAAGAGAGGATTACAACGGTGATCTTACATCTGAATTTCTGTGGGACCCTTATGCCTGTGCCATAATGAATTAATTTTGATGGAATCCAGTATGGAAGCAAGATTCTATAGTCGGGATTGAAAAAATCTGTTAAGCAGCTATTTTCTTTTTTTTTTTTTTTTGTCTCAGGGGAAATAAATTTCAAGAGTCATGATTTTTTCATATAGTCTTACTATATAATTTTGTCTTACTTAAGCTATAGAAAAATTGGTGTAATGTTAGATAATATGTCTTGTGTGACAAAAGAACCCTAAGTGCATGCACACATCCTTGCATGTGTGCATACTCAAGCTTTCAATATAACACTTGCCTAGCAAAGCTTTTCTCTTGGGATTTTTTTGTAATTTATGAAAATGAATGTGTTACATGTGTAACATCTATAAAGGAATAAAAACTATCATTTATTGTGAAAGCAGATAAATAGTCCTTTTGAAATAAAAGCCGATGTTGTGCCAGTTTCAAGCACAATAGAAATGAAGAAAGCTTTTCTTTAAAATCTGTTGGAAAAAGCTGGTGTCAGCCCATAGAGAGACATTTTCCTTGTTCCTTTCATCACTGACTGACTTATAATTTGCTTCTCTAAGAAGCATTAGATTTTTGATGAAATCTTTCCAGCTTTACTTTTTTACCATGACAAATTATTTCAGAACAGCTTCTTTACATGTCACTGTAGAGTTATCTTCTCTGTTCTAAAAATACTGTCAATCTGAGGTACTGGTTTTGCATTCCCTAAAACCATCTCTAAGCCACACAAACCTCACAGAAGTTAATAGGTTTGACCTAGTATTTCAGAACCCAACAGTGGAAAATGAATACCATATATATCTCTTTTCAGAACAATGAAAACATTTTTATTGTTTTGCAGTTGGCTGAGAAGGGAAAGAATTATGAATATATTCTAGTCATTTTTATGGCCTTTGTATTTTCCAACATTTAAAACTGTTTTATTATTTTAATAAGAAACAAATTTCCAAATGCACTTGCAAGAAACCTTTATATGTGTCTATTCAAACAGATCTTTTACTGACAACCTTCCCTTTTCCATCTGAAGGCAGCCTCTCTCATTGCAATGTTCTCCACAAACGAGATGCAAGGTGAAATCCTGATCCTTTTCAGCCCAATATCAGAAAATCTCACTGCCACATCTAGGCGATATAAATGGAAAAGCTAATATAAATGGCAAAGTTAATCCTTATAGAAGGTTAAATCAAAATCAGTGTTTTCACATCTAATAAAGCTACACAATAAGGATCCCATGGTGCTTTGAGAATGTTAATTTGTTGTTCCACAAGCTGCATTTGGGGTCACTGGGTCCAGTTCTTCTGGCCAATACCACAAAAGACACACTTCTCACAGATTTCTGCTTTAAAGGTGAAATTACATAATTGAGCTCAAAAAGAAAATGGTCACTAAAACACTAAAGCTGCTGCTAAATGGTGGTCTCAAAATGACAATATTGTTGGGGTTTTTTTGGTTTTTTATTTTAGAAAAAAATAATTTCTGACTTTGCTTTATGTGTGATGACCATAGGGCAAATGCATTAACTTCTGACAGTGCTCCATGTAGGAGTTTGCAGGCATTCTGAGTGTACAGCTTGACATGTCTGGGCAGCATCTTGGAGGGGAAACAAAAAAAAAATAGATTATCTAAATAGTCCCTGGCTTATGACGACATTCTTTAAAACCATATTAAAGTGATACAATAATATGCTATTGGACATATTTTCTTGTTCTCTGATGTCATCTTAAAATCTCTCAGAGGAAAAAAAGAGGCTGAGTGAGATGGCAAGAGACAGGGCACCATGTGTTTTCACAGTGCAGCATCCATTATACATGAGCAGAATAGCAGTTGCTCAGCTGCAACCATGGTAGGCACGACTGCTTCTCGTACAAACTCATATTTCATTTATTCATGGCACCTTTCATTCCAAGACCCTGAGCCTCCGCTTGTTTGTCTGCAAGTGTAGCTATGCACCTGGATAGTTATGGTGACCTCAGTAGGGGTTGCTCACATGTAGAAATTCAGGCATGAGAATGGAGTGTTGACAGAACTGAGGCCAAAAGCTGGAGGTAGCTGAGCTGGGAAAATTGGCAATAGCATAGTAAAGTAAACCAGTCCAAAAGTGCATAAAAACACAAAACCCAGCAAATCACTGTACAAGTCCCCAGACAAGCAGCTGATCACAGAATGATTCTGTGTGCTGCTACATTCACTTTCCCTGTGTTCATTCACATTAACCAACAATGAATATGTTACTAAGATTGTCCTTACCTTAAGTTATGGGATAGATATTCATTAAAACAGAGAAGGAGCATTCCTTCCTGTATCCGTTAAAACTTTAAGCCTCCAATGCTGTCAAACAAACTGCAGATGTCCAGTATGCAGGTTTGGAAAGCTGGAATTTGCTTTATTGCATTACTCTGGATTTTTTGTTCCACATTGGAAGAATGGAAATCTCTGAAAGCACCAGACTTTTACATTGTTTCTATCAGCTTAATTGCTGTAACATGCATTTTGTTTCAGATCAATTGCTATTAAGAGCAAATGCCACAAGAAAATTGATATATGCAACAATTTATTTCCCTAGACATCTGTACAATACTACACACTTTTTGGATTGAGATGTCACATTTGGCTCACATTAGGACTGGAAGGCCAAGGTGTAACAAGCATTGGTTCAGTGGTTCAATAATAATTTTTTCCATGCAATGACTCCTCCTTATCTTTCATTAGCTGCCAATCAGGCCCTGCAGCTGCCACGTGCCAAAATATATTCTTTGTTATTAGTATTAAAAATACTCTTGAAACTCAGACTGAGACATGAAGGAAAATATCCTTCCCTGGAAAAATACGTTTTTTGCTTCTTCCTGCTGGAAAATCTATTTGAATGTGCTCACTGCTCAAAGAGATGTGAAGTTCTGTGAGGCTTGGACTTGTCAAACTAAAACTCAATACTCAAAAGGATTCTTTGCATAGTACAGAGCAAAATGAAGTGCTTAAGCTTATCCTATAGAAACAATTGAGAGTTTGACACATGGCATGTGTCTGTGAATCTGTTCACAACTTCAATAGTCATGCTTATTTAGCATAACTTAATAGGAACAAGAACCAAAGAAAGGTTTACCGTCTAATAGTTTTCCAATAAGTAGAAATTTGCAAGTGGTTTCAATATTTGCAAACTTCTTGCTTTATTGCTGAAGGAAGAGGAATCTGGATTCAAAGAACAAGAAGAAGATCCCTTTCCTCCTTCTTGCTGCAGGTATTTCTCTCTCCCCTGTACCCGACATAGACATTGGCATCAGCATTTAGGGATGTAAAGAATAGCAGTAGTCTGCTCTGCAGTGTTAATTACTGCAGCTTGGGATGCATGGTCGATTGAGGCCCCAGCAGAGGGAGATCAACTGAAACTGGAGTTCCTGAGATATCTGACCTGCATCCCTGGCATCCCTTCGAGTGGGAAGCCAGAATTCTGCAGGAAGCACTGAGACTAAGAGACAAATGGATGCTTCCTGGTGTTGGTGCTATGCTGAAGTTTCTATTGGTTTCTATTCTAACCTGCCCTAAGTTGTACAAGGTTGGTGGAGCTGGGACAGAGCTACTCCTGTGAGAAAGGTTGTGGAGTCTCCCTCACTGAAGATGAAAAATGGAGCTGGTTCTGAATTAAATAGTTAAGTATTTTTAAAAACGGAAAGTAGATCTTGCAAAGGGATTCAAATGACATGCTTATTTTTTTCCAGATCCAGGAAAAAACCCTTTGTATGTGTTGTATGACAATGTTTCTTTAATGTAAAAAAAGAACTTTCTAGAAGAACTCACAAGAGTGAAACAATAAATCCACATTTATGCTGTGTTAAAATGTGTTAAAAAGCAAAACTACTTCCACTTGTGGAAAACATGCATATATTTTTAGCTACAAGTAGAAAACTTGAATATTTTGAAACAAAAAGTAGTAAAGAAATGCTCCAAGAAGTCTTAATAGAGACTAGTTTAACTTCATCGAATAAGTCAAAACAGAAGAGAGAACTCACTTGCTCATTTTTCCTTTACATGTGAGTTTTTTTGAGACTCTTGCTGTGTCTCCACCTTCTAGTTGAAAGGCTGCTGGGATGATGCACATTTGGGGCCATCCATCCTAATGAGTCACTGCTGTGTGAAACACCAGATATATTTTGTCTTCTTTTGACACTTATGCCAAAGGAGAATACAGAGGTATCCCTAAATCACCCCTCACTGTGGAATTCACATGTGTTCAACAGATGATGGAGTGGGAAGCAGCCATTGCCTTTCCATACAGAACTGCTCCTGTACTTTCTATTTTTTTGGAACTCTCTGACAGGGACTCTCTTGTTCTCCTTCCGTCTTAAGAATTTAGAGAGGGCTGCAATTATAAGATTATCGAGCACTTCTCAACCTTTGGTAGTCATAAAGCCTGTCTAGCAGATGACAAATGGAGGAATGGTGGGATAAGGGTCTTGCCCACGATCACAGCAGGTTGTGGTGAGCAGAGCAGTTGAGCCTGCCTGTGCTGAACACCAGGGAGTGATTTAAAACCCATCGTTCCTGCACTGAGCCACACGTGCATTCAGTTCCTGTGCAAAAGGGGAAAAGATTTTCTCAGCTCCATAGGAAATAAAAGGTTCCACTTTTATTAATTTCACTGTGTTTAGGAAAAGGGTATGGTCCTCAGCACTGTATAAAGCCAAAAGATATCCCAAGAGAATATTATAATGAATAGTGGTAATAAATTAATACCAGTAAATCAGGCAGTGCAGGCAGATATACACAATATAATTCACAAAGCAGCATCCGAAATGAATATCGTGTGGATTATTCAGTGATTAATTATAAAAAGCATAGATTTTGGAAGTATCTCGTTTTGGGGACTAGTTAACAGAAAAACAGGTCAAGTTTATCAGGGATGCTCAATGTAATGCCACCACTCAGCCACCTCCAGATGCAAGGTGTTCTAGAAAATGTTCTGGAAATCAAAAACTTCAACTAAACTTTTGGAGTCACAAGCTGGAGTGTTTCAGAAAGCAACAGTGGGTTTTCAAATAAACAGAGAGTGTAGCTTTATAAGTGCATTAGCTTGGTTAAATATGTGCAGCAATATTTAGAGTGCTTCTCATTAACAGGTTTGGTCAAAATCTAAGCTAAACCACAAAGGCTGAATTTCATTCTGATTAACACCAATTTCAAACAATATCGAACATATTTTCCCAAATATATAATAGAGTAAAAGTGTAAGAGAAAGTTTCATTTTTGTAATGAGAATGTGGAACAATTTTTAACAGACTTCACTTACAATGTTGACAATATTGGTGAAAGTGAGGAGTCTTAATAAATGAGGTTTTTGTAGACATTAGGGGACAAATTCTGCAGTCCTTTAGGCTCTTTCATATTCATAGACACCAATAAGGTTGTGTCAGGGTAATTGAAAGAAGACTTGGCCTTAAGATCTTAAACTGTGGTGCAAAGCATATTCAGGGAGAACCAAGAATATTTTTTTCTCCTTAATTCCCAAAGCAATAATATTTTCTATCATGGAAGTCAGCCTTGGTTCTTTGGATATGTTACTGAACTTTAAAATGTGGGATAGTATATGCTAAATAATTTTAGTATTTAAAAATCTATGTATTAAAACTTAGTATTTTCCAGATAGAAAATTACTTAGTAGGTATATATTTAGTGTAGGTTTATTCTTAAAATGTAAGAAAAAAACCTGCAAACACCCTTCAGAAATGTTTCCATCTCTCTCACTTTGGCTCTGGGCTGCAATTAGAAACTGCAGGTATGTTCATATTCATATGTTCATGTTCACTTGGCCATGTCCACACGTGAACACACACTGAATTCTGAATGTGCTTAAATGTTTCATTTAACTTCACTGTAAATAAGTAAAGGCACAGGGAATAAAGTTCCTTGCCTGTTTGCTGCACCTTCACGCATTTATGGAGTATAAAAAACCCCTTCTGCTGTATGACAATGCTATAAACTGGCCTTGCAGCCATTCACGTTAGTAGAAATCAGTCCTCAAGTTTCACATTTTCATGCTCACAGATCCCTAAATTTCACATCTAGCACGAACAAAGTCCCTGAAATGTTTCTTAAGATGAAACGGAAAACATTAAAAAGGAAATATGAACTGCAATAAAAATGCATTAAAACACTGTGTGTTGCTATATTAGCAGTGGTATGTTCTTTTCTCTGGTCACTATGTTCTCTTAGGGTTTCTTGCATCTGCATGTGCTTTATAGCAGGCTGTAACTACAGTAAGACTATAACAGGATTATCAAATGAATTGTCTTTCACTTTTGTACAGCTAGAAATTCTGCCAAAATATTATATGACCAAGA